AGGGCAACATTTGCTCTGAGACGCACACTGTTAAGAATGCAAAGTAAGCCACACAGCAGATTAAAATGTTGCCAAATCACATATCTGACAAAGGACTCGCATCCAGAACATATAAAGAGCTCTCAAAAATCATCAATAAGAAAACAAACAGCTTAAAAAAAAAGATGGGCAAATGATCTGAACACACGCTTCACAAAAGAAGGTATACAGATGGCAATTAAACTCATGAAAAGATGCTCAACATCTCCAATTAGTCATTGGAGAAATGCAAATTGAAACTATAAACCTTATAAATATATAAACATATAAACATATAAACCTTTATGCACTTGTGGAAGTGGCTAAAATAGAAGAAATCCAAACCGACACAGGGTTGGCAAGGATGCCAAGCTTCTCACTCATTGCTGGGGTGGGTGTGTGCAAGATGGTACAGCCTCTGTGGAAAGCAGTTTCTCAGTTCCTGATGAAGTTAAACATACAGCTACCACACGAACCAGCAATCCCCTTCCTATTGACCCAAGAGAACTGAAAACATATGTTTAGGTGAAAACGGGTATGCAAATGTTTATAGCAGCTTTATTCATAACTGTTGAAAACTGGAAACAAGCCACATGTTCTTTAGCAGGTGAAGGAATGAAGACGTGTGGTCCATCCATGCAGTGGAATACTACTCAGTAGGAAAAAGAGAACAGACTATCGATACAAGAGCAACAATGCTGCTGAGTTTACCGCATTCTGTCAACTGGAAGAAGCCAGTCTGACAAGCTGACACACTGCACGATCCATTTGAATGACTTTTTGGAAAAGGCAAAGTGATAGGGATGGAGAAGAGACTCCTGGTTGCTGGGCTGGGTGGGGGGTGACTCCAAAGGGGCAACAGGAGGGAATTTTGGGGGGTTTTAGAACTGTTCTGTGTTTTGATTGTGGTGTTTACATGGCTGTATGCATTTGTCAAGAGTCATAGAAACTTTAACCAGAAAGAGTGCATTTTATTGTATGTAAATTTAAAAATAAATGTAAAAACATGAATAGGCTTTGAAGGACCAGCAGTTAAAGCTCACTTAGTGCTGTCGGGTGGGGGCCCGTGGTGGAGCAGAACCCCAGAGGCTCACAGAAGCTGGGCTGTGCCTCCCGCTGAATTCACCTGGCCATCCTTGGTGATGGTGTCATCACGATGCTTGTCACACTCACAGTCTATCCGTGATGCTAATGGCTTGGCTGCAGGCAGAGTCTGCGGCATGCACAGGGCCACCCCCATTGCATGGCTTGTGTCTCCCAGGCTTGGACACTGGTCAGGAGTCAGGGGCTGGGAAACCATGAATGAGTGCTAAGAAGAGGGTGACCTAACCCTCACCTCTTCTGGAAACTCCCTTCCCCTTCCCTTCTTTTTTGAAGATTTTATTTATTTACTTACAGAGAGAAAGTGAGTGGGGTGGGGAGGGGCAGAGGGAGAGGGAGAATCTCATGCAGACTCTGCACTGAGCTTGGAGCCCGACGCTGGGCTCGATCTCACGACCCTGAGATCATGACCTGAGCTGAAATCAAGAGTCAGATGCTGAACTGACTGAGCCATCCAGGCGTCCCTGGAAGCTTGCTTTCATTCCATGGACACAGTCGCTCATTCCGGATGTCCTTGGGATCCTACTTCCTGCCCTCCGTGTGTCTTGGGAGGCAGAGCATCGTAATGCTAACTGCATGGGTTTCAGTGTCAGAGAGCCCTTGGTTTGCATCTCAGGGCCAGAGCAGTGGTCTTGGGCAAGGACTTTAACTACTTTTGGTTTTAGCTTCTCAACCTCTAAAACGGGGACAATAATAGTAGCTACTTCATGGGGTGGCCGAGGATTACACAATCAAAACATGCACTCGAAGCCCAGTGCCCCATGTGGTGAGCATGTAATAAACAAACAAAGTGTCAGGCGAGCAGATGCACGGATTTGTGAGTGCTTCCGGCGGGCGGGGATGCTGAAGCCTCTGTTGGCCTTGTACACAGTGCCAGCACCAGCCCGGGAAAGCACCTGCCAAGTACCTTCTGTCTCACGGAGCTCTGGGACCGAAGTCACACTCAGGGCTCACTCCTTTCTTCACACCTTCCTGCAGGCCAGGCCCTGGCTCTCAGACGCGCTCAGCAGCTCTGAATCCCCAGGGTTCCACGCTCTCCGCCTCCCGGCGCTTCACACACCTTCACTCCAGACTCCCTTCCCAGCCCCGCATGGGTCAGGACGGGATGGGACCTGGACAGTCACAGCTGCAGCCCGGAGGCTGACTCCTTTCCTCCTGGGCTTCCCACTCCTGGGGCTTGTATGTTGTGCACCAACATGTGTGGGGTTCTAAAGCCATCCGGGGACTGACTTTCAGTTCCTGGATCAAAATATGGTGCATTGTCTGTATAATTGCGTAAATAACAGGCTGAAGGATTACTGATGCCAGCCTCATGGGAGCAAGGAAGGGCGAACCTCGGGCTCTGTCCTGCCTGGGCTCTGCTCGGTTTGCATCTGTGTCAGGGTAAACGTGGATGTGCATATTGAGGACATTATATTCATTAGGATTTGTGGTTGGGAGATAGATCATATCTCAGCTGACTGGACTGATAGACCAAACCAAAGAGGGAGGAATTAAAAGGGATAAAGGTCAGTTCTGGCTCTTAGGCCTTCAAATCCAACAACGTGCACGCAGAACGACGTGGACTGAGTTTAATGAGCACATAAGAAAGATCTGGGGCTTTTAGGCAATGCAAGGTCAGTACGAAGCCAGGGATGTGATGCGGAAACAAAAAAGCTAATGCTATCAGGTTGCATTAACAGAGACATAGGTAACAGAATAGAGGAGGTGATATGTTTACTCTCTGTGCTAAGCTGACCTCATCTTGAATATGGTGTTTACTTTTGACAGTCACATTTTAGTACAGACATTTACAACCCGTAACATCAGCTGAGGGCAACCAGGATAAGTGTCCACTTATATAAAGGTTGGAGAGAGTTATCCTGAAGAACAAAGATTTGCTGGGTTCAGGATAGCCGATGCTACTTAAGGGGGTTCCTTGTGGAAGAGTGATTTGACCTATCCTATATGCCTCCAAAGCAGTGCTACATAATAGAACTTCCTGTGATGATGGAAATATTTTATGTCTGTGCCATTTAATAGCTACCAGACAGATGTGGTTTTTGAGCAAATAAAATGGGGGAACTGATTTTTTAATTTAACTCATTACAATTAAAATTTAAATGGCTTACTGTGTCTACCTTATTGGATGGTGAAGATTTAGAGGGAAAATAAAAGAGTAGACCGGGGGCTGGCAAATTTTTTCTGTAAAGGGTAAGACAGTAACTATTTTGGGCTTTGCTGGGCATATGACTTCTGTTGTAGCAACTGGGCTCCCCCATTGTAGCGTGAAAGTATACACAGCATAGGAAAGAATGAATGCGTCTGTGTTCTAATAAAACTTTATTTACGGCATCTGAAATTTGAATATAATCTTTACATGTCACAAAATATTCTTCTTTTGATTTTTTTTCCAACGACTTTAAAGGCGTAGAAACCATGCTTAGCTCCTAGGTTGTACAAAAGTGGGTGTCAGGCTGGATTTGGCTTTGTAGTTTGCTGACTGGCTTAGGATGTGGGCGGGAGCCTCAGGGAGTCATATGTAAGTTCAAGAACGGGAGACAGTATTAATTAGAGGTAGCCGGGCATGGCCTGGGCACCCTCAGTGAGAGGTGAGTTCTTGTCACGCACGGTTCAAGTACAGGCCGGGTAGTTAACTGTCTGGCGAGGGATGAGGCAGAAATGTGTCATACTTAACACAGGTTATGCTAGAATTTCCCCCGAATTCTGTAGGAGTTTTGAAATCAGGATGACGTGTGACTGCTTTAAAAATTATACCTGCTTTGTGCAGGGAAGGAGATTGTTTCCCCTGCTGGGTACTTCGTCTGCGCCCCGTGTTGCTGGGACGGGGACACCTGCGGGTGGCCTCCAGCCTCGTTGCTCCCGTGGTTCTGCTGAGCGTTCCGGGCCCCTGGAATGTGCCTGCCTGGGGGAGCTGCTTAAGCCCATCTATGTGCAGCCCAGGAGAGATGGCGCTGAGAGCGCCTCGGGCCTCCACGCTGGTGCCGTCCGGCGAGCTGTGAGTCTCTGTCCAGAATGAAGTCGAGGACCCATGTCCTGCGGACCGTCTGTGAAGACGGGACCGCTCGGGAGCTGACTGTCCAGCCTGGGGACCGCCGGAGGTCATGTCCTCTCCGTTACCGTTGGCGGTCTCCCACCTTTCTCCTCTGCCCTGCCTTCTGTCCGTCTCACTTCCCATCAGCATCTCTGCTAAAATAAACACAAATAGAGAATAAACGGCTTCTTCCTACCAGGAGAGAGGTGGAGAGCGCTAGCATGAAGTTGGAATTTCTTGTGCTTTTATCCACACCTCCACTTGCCGCTACTGTAATGGAGTTTTCTCCATGTCTTTGGAAAGCACAGGACGCCTCTGAAGCTTGACTTGGGGGCTTTCCAACAATTGAGATAAATACCTTTGGCATGCAGCATTGTGCAAATTTGATACACGGATGTTGCAGAACAGTTCCCATTGTAGGAGTGGTGACCACTCTGTCCCGACACATAGCTGTCACTTCTTCCAGTGACTGGAGCAGTTAAGAGCTGGTCTCTTGGCCAGTTTAATGTTTAGGGTACAGTTCCGTTGTCTGTATGCACTAGACTGTGCATTAAGTCTACCGGACTTACTTGTCTACGCGTGGCAGGCACGTGGCAGGCGCGTGCCCTTCAACAGTATCTTGCCCTTTCCCTGCGTGGGGGAGTTTTAAGCGTACACAGAAGACAGAGGAGTTCGATCAGCACCAAGTGTCCATCACCAGCTTTGATGGCAACCACCTCCTGCCCAGTCTTAGATCACTGATAGCTTCTTCCTGCCTCCTGTATTATTTTGAAGCAAATCTACAGGAAGGCGCGGGGCACTGACTCACCTTTGCACTAACATCTCAATTCTGCGCGTTCCGTTTCAGATCATTGCCTTCGATGAGTTAAGGACGGATTTTAAGAGCCCCATAGACCAGTGTAACCCTGTTCACGCAGTAAGTAGCGGGTGCAGGCGGGGGCGGGGGGGGTGGTGTCAGAGCCGGTTACCAGGGCCTGTGGAGGAGGGATGTTCCGATGGGGGGTGGGTAAAGTGCCTCCACTCCTGGCTCAGGGCCGTCGAGGACCCCTCTCGTTCCTGAGGTCCGCCCAGGTCCCGACGTACCTTGCAAGTCAAATAGGACGATCCCAGTAAGCCAGGTGAGAAAGGTCAGCTGTGCTTTGGCGGACCAGTCTTCAAGGCCTCGTGCTGGCGGTTCTGGTTATTCATCCTCGCATAAGGAGAGAGGCTCCATGTTGGCCAACATGCTGGCAGGGCACGGGAGCCTCCTTAGTGGCTGTTTGCACTCTGTGCTTGGCCAGGTGTCTCAGAGGGGGACACCAGAGTGGGTGGAGGTACAGAACCCCTGGGCCCGCGTCCACTGCCCAGGGGGACACTCATCTCGAGAGGCTCCATGGGCCTGAGGTCAGCTCGCCTCCCACTGGGGAATCTGATGCGGTCTGGTCCTCGGATCCAGGCTCGGCACGTGCGATCTGACTGTCCCGTCTGGCTGCAGTTCCCTCATGCCCGGGAGTGGGCATGGCAAGCGGCTTGTGCAGGGAGAGGAGGAAGACCCTACTTCCAATGAATGGGGTGGGTGCAGCCCACTTGCCAGGGCCGGGGACCAACCACGTGGGTGGACAGAGCCTTGTCCACACTCATTCGAGACCAGCACTGCTGGGCACACACGGTTCTTTCAGGTGTGTCTCTCAGCCTGCACTCACAGGGTCTGCGTGTGGTTGAAGTTCCTTCCAGGCCCCGGGTTCCAGCGCCAAGCCAAGTTTTTGTTTGAATAGCCCTGTGGGTATTTTCAGTTAGAGGTTGTAGACCGGACAGCAGGATTTACTAGTGCAAGTCCATCTTAACCCAGAAGGCTTATGGTGTCACTCTAGCAACACGGACAAAGAGGTCTGTTCTCCTTGAAGAAAGATGTACTCCCAGGAGGAGCCAGACCAGGGGACTAGGCTTCAGTGTCCCCTCTGTAAAGCATAGGGCTTTTATTGGAGTCGTACGTTTTGGTGAGTTTTTACCGCACACTAGAAACTTTACACGTATAACCCATAGTCCTCACAGCTCTGCCCGAATGGCATCATTTACCGCACATGCAGACTCGTACGCAAGGGCCCACAGCCCCTGGAGGTCTGCCTGTCCCCAGAGCCCGTGTTCTTACCACCTAGCCACTCCATGGTGTCTCTTTCAGAGACTGGATTTTCTAATGCCTGATTTTATCATCCCTTTGGCATCAGATTTTTTGGTTCTGTGAAATAGAGCCAAACCCTTTTCAAAGTCAAGGGTGTGAAGCAGAAACTTGTGGCAAGTTGCAAGAGTCCCTAAGATGCACTTGGAAACTTCTTAGGCTTTGTACTTGCATTAAAGTCCATTTTTATTTCCATCTGCTGGCCTCCCCCTACCACCTGTGATAACTTGGTCCCACCAGGCCTGAAGGGTTACCCCCCAGTCTCATTTCTTTCTGGGTGTTTTGTGTTTGGCACCATGTTACACTCCCGGCCCATGGGAGCTCTAGTCCGAGAGGGGGGCCGCTATCCGTCCTCCTAGCTGTGTGGGCTCACATGAGCTCACTGAAAACACCCAGGCTTTCTTGAATGACCCCGGGTGCACGCTAGTGCAGAAACGTGTCCTCCGCTCCCTTCTGTCCTGCCAGTTCAGCCCAGGCGATCGGTGAAGCTGTGAGACAGCTTCGTGGAGCCAAGAGAATATAGGACTGACACACAAGCCGCAGCAGCCTCTGGGCAAGGTCAGCCTGCACACAGTAGGCGCTCAGCTGTTGTTGACGAGAGGGAGAATGCATCTGCTGCAGGGTGAGGGGTAGCGTGGAGGCTGGGTCTCGGCTCTTCACTCCTATCATGAAAGCCACGCTTCTCACTGGGTAATGACTTAATCAAGGAGCCTGGACCCTGTGGGCCAGACAGTCCGTGGACAGACTGAAGCCCCCCTGGGAAAGCACTCTTGTCTGAGATTTCTAAAAAAAAATCCATTAAAACCCTACACGGAAGAATATTAGACATATTTTCTTGGTTCTGACGATTTACTCCTTGGCAGGGAGCTAAGTGCTTTGGATGCCTCATTAACTCACATTCGAGGTCTTTCGGGCTCCGTAGAGCCCCTGAAAATGCATCTCCGCCTCAGCTGGCTTGGAGAAGCTACCGCCCACTGGTGACGCCCGCCCTATGTGGACTTAGCTTACAAACCATAGCTGTATGAGCAGGTGTGAGGCCCACTGGCTCTCTGGACTGAAGATCCCCTAGAGCTCCAAATCTTGCAGGGCCCTCGGGGTGGACCCCCGTCCAGGAGCTGGAAGGGATGAGGAGGGCCCTGCTCTACTCCTAGCTTCTCATTCAGCCTTTTCCCTTCCTTTATCGGCGGGGCCCTTTAGTGTCACCATCAAGGAAGGGGAGCCAGCAGAGGACCGGCTTGTGGGGAAGGAGCTGGTGCGCGCCCCGTGGCAGCCTCTCTGTGCCTGGCATCTCACACCTTTCCTCTTATTAATACTCCACGTAGGCAGCCTCGATGCCCAGCCGTGTGTGGGGTTTGTGTGTGTGCATGCGCGTGTGGACAGACACGGGGTTTGCTGCAGAGGATGTGGTCTGTCTTCCTAGCCACGTGGACACTAATTTGTCCTGATGTGGGGGCTCTTTCTTCTGGGCTTAAAGGATGCACAGGAATCACTGTACGATTCAATTAGGGAAGCTGAAGTGGCCCAGCCACCCCTCTTCCCCAGATCTGCGAGCAAGTTCATTAGCATCGCTTCCACGGTCACCAAATTGCCTCGTAACGAAGCATCGGACAGAGGCTGCAGCTGTGCTCAGAGGGGCTTTGGAAAACAAGAAGCCACTGCGGGAAAGGGTGATGTGACCGTCACCCCCTGCTTGGCTGCGGGCGCCTGTTCTCAGCCCTGAGCCGGGCTCCGGAGATGGACTTCGACGTCTCGAGACGTCTTAGCCTGGGGGGTGCTGCTGGTGTCTAATTTAGTGGGATGATTCCTTCCTCTAAATGCACTCGCTTTAGAAAAATAAAATCAGCGGGCAGAGAAATTCCCAACCGTAGACTCTAATCAGGGCACATGGGCTCTGGAGCCCCAGGTGGGCAGTCCTTCCGGGGAGGGTGACTCGGCCTCCAGGGCGTCCCGAGGACGTTGGTACCTTTTGACCCCCTCTGGCCAGCTCCCTCTCCTCTACTCCCTGTCTCTGGTAACCGCAAGCCTGATCTCCTTCTTTATGAGCCACTGGGTGGGAGCACGCAGGTCTCTGGTGGGTTCTGCCTCCTCTCCTGGGGGCTGAATGTGGGGGCTTCTCACGTTCCTTCAGCAGAGCATCTAACCTCCCCTCTTTTTCTTTCCTGTGCATCCCGATAGAGGGAACGTCTGAGGAACATCGAGCGCATCTGCTTCCTCCTGAGAAAGGTCAGTGCAGGAGCTCCATGCCCGAGGGTGGGCAGTCCCGTGGTTGTGGCTGGTCACGCAGCGGAAGGGGCTGGTGAGGCTCGGTGCCTGCTCCAGTCCTGTCTCCCCAGAAAAGGCAAATGGCAGGGGAGTGGGCGGTGGGAGCAAGTGAGCCTTTCGTTTGCTGGAAGCCTCCAGAGATAAAAGGAGCTCATTAGAAGGGGTGGCCATCAGTCAAAGTGACAGGGCAGCACCGGATATTTGCAGGTGCCCTCTGGCTGGACTCAGACGTTCTTTATCTTCGCGTGATGATGGATGGCGTTTCCAACTCATGTAACCTTACAGCTTTTGTTCATTGCTGGGCTCAGGGAAGTTTTTAACTAGATGCTGGGTTTCCTCTGAGGTTTCAGCCTGCCGCTCAGCTTTGTGGTTTGATGGGCAGCATCACTGGGAGTGTTTTGGGGGCGGGATGGGAAGTGTTATCGAAGGGGGGGCCAAGCATTGGGAGAGTTGTTGTGAACGGATGGGTGGTAGGTCACAGCGGCCTTGGGTGCGTCTGGAAGCACACATGTGCACACGCACGGTCATGTGTGTGCATGCAGCTCAAGCTTGGTATTTAGCTCACCTCCATGACACAGCCGGGCCACGGGATGGGGAAGCCACCTGTCAACCCAGAGGGAGCTTCTGAGCCGTAGGTGAATTCGAGAGAAACACCTACCCCGCCGACATTGACAGGGAGTAACTGTGCGAGCTTTTGGATTTTTTCCGTATTTCCATAATGATACCTTTCACTGGAGGAGAGAGTCTAATCAAGTAGTTACTTATTTTTCCAGCTACTCACTTGTCCTTTCATGCTTTCCTAGAGCCTTGGCCTGGTAGGGTTCCCCAACTTGTGGGTCGCAGCAGGGAAGTGCGGTCAGACAGGGAAAATACATATGAAACCAGTGACCCAAAGAGTAAAGGATGATGTAAGAAAACACATGACATTTGGTGTTAAGGGCAACTCAGGAATTTGTCAGTTATTTTCGCCTGTCGTATCTTGGATACCAGTAACCCCTTCGGTGGTCACTTCCCGTCTGACACCTAAGAGTCTGTCACGCTCCCTCCCCCCATCCTGAACATGCCTCCCCGATTCTCACATCCATCCTATGAGTCTGGCTCACCCTTCGGCACTGCTTGGCCACTGACTCTGGCTGGACAGTGGCCGGTGGCTGCGTCTGCCAGGGTCCTGCTTAGAGCCCAAGGTCAGAGCTGAGGCCAGGAGAGAACCCAGGCTGGGCGGGAATTAGCATTACCATTTGTCAATTTATACACAGTTTGCGTAAGTTTCTAGAAAAAGGCAGGCATTTTGCTCCAGGAAATCTACGACAAGTACCTTTCTTTGTTTCTCGTCCTTTTCATGTGGTCCCTCCCCCCATGCAGAGGCCTCTGCGGCCCTTGGGAACGCAGGCGCTGTTCATCGTTAGCGGGAAACCCCGGGGAGGCTGGTCCAGGGTAGACACCGCGGACAGGCAACACTGACTTCAAGTTCTTAGGTGTTAGAGCTGTGCCCGATCACGCGTCCTGCGACCCAGCGGTCTTCGGCCCCACGACCAGCGGCACGGGGACCTAGCCCGAAACACGTGCATCTACTATATTTACTACACTTACTACTTTCATCAGATTTGTATTTTAAAGTCACACGTAGCTCTCTCTTGTGTCGGCTGTCGACGGGGCAGTCCCTAACTGACAACTTCTCCTGCCCTGTCTGTGCCCACCGCCCTCCTTGGGGTCTGTGTGGTCACCTGACCCCCGTCTGCTGCCCACCAGCTCTGGTCCCTTCCACGGGAGAGGCGGTGGGGGACTCAGGCTTCTGCTGCGCCCGGATGCCGCCCCTGCCCTGATGATCCTCCAGCCTCTGGCGAGACTCTAACCCCGGGGGTGGCGAGAACAGCGCCTCCCGGTGCCGCTGCCTTGAGAGGCTACAGTTGTGTGCAGCTCAGAGCTGCTCGGCGCCGGGCGCATTCCCGCAGGCGTCCTGACCCCCGGCAGCTGCCTGGAGCGCCGTGTGACGCCCCCAGGGCTCACGCACACCCCGGAGGCAGGTGAGGTGGCCCGTGGCCTCCCTGGCCTGAGCCCATGCCGGGGACGTGAGGAGCGTTAGTGGGTCTGGTTAGCGCCACCACCTTCTGGGAACTGTACCTTCCAAGAAATTTCTTGGAACTTGTCCCCCAAACACCCAGAATGTGATGTATCTCCACAGCTGATTGTTGCTAAACCACCTCCTCAGCTTTCTCGGGAGGAAGGAAGGGATTTTCAAAGGGGATCCATTTTTAGCTCTCTAATTATCAGAAAATGTGTTCTTTGGGTAATTGTCTGAACTGCAGGATTCTCGTGTCGATGTGCGTGTGTGATTCATTTTCCGTGGCAAGAGCCACTTCACATGCTGCTCTCCCGCTGGAGCGGGACGTGGGCTCCGTGGGTCGCTGCGGAGGTCAGCTTGGGAGCGGGAAGCATCATGGGCCCCGCGCGGAGGAGGCTGAGCTGCCCAGGGGCCCCGGATGCGTCTGCAACTTCAGGAAACGGTTGGAGGAAAGGAGCTGACGGGCGAGCCCGAGGTTGGCATGAGTGTAAGGAGAAGCGTGCCTTGTGAGCGGGGCTCCTCAGACCCTGGACTCGGTTGTCCCCGGGGGCCCATGAAATGTCACCTCCCTTAGGCCAAGTCAGACAACAGAGTCTGTGATGGTTTCCTGTTGGCTGAGCCTGGGGGGGGGGGGGGGGGGGGGAGGGAGACTCAGGTGCAGAGTTCAGGATGTCCCTTCTGGCTTTGATGCATCTGAGCATCTCCGTCTTGCTCCCTGAACTCCACAAGCGTGTCTCCAGCCCCACTGCAGGTTTCTGACGTTTGTGGCTCTAAACGGTGGATGGATAATTCTCCCCCCTCCATTGAGCAGTCGCCCCGGGACGTGGAGGAGGAGTGGGTGGGGTCGGGGTGCTGGGGTGTTGAGGTCTTTGGTGGGAGGGGGCAGGTGCGCCAGGCTGTCCTCTGGAAGAGCGCGGTAGTGATAAGACCACAGGTGTTACCACTAATGACCACCTGTGCCCCTCCCCCTTCCTGCTTATCCGAACCACACCTGCGGGGGGCGCGGGGGAAGGCATCACGGGGTCAGGTGCAGCTGAATGCTGTGAAGCCGGGTCCCCTGCAGAAGTTTCACGACGGGGTCCCACCAGTGGGGTTGGAGGAGGTGGGGAGCGGTTAGGACCCTTTCCGAGCGCAGAGCCCATTTGTTGAGTAGGAAGATCATACTGTCGTTCTGGATCCTTCTCCATCCCCCGTGTCCGTGGGGTCATGTGCAGCTGCTTGGGTCATGTCCCTGAAGCCAGCCCTGCCTGGACCTATGACCTTGCCACGTGACTGCACAGGTCCCCTCCCCCGCACTCATGTCGGGCTTGGCCACGTGAATGTGGGCAGGTATGCGGGTGTGCTGAGTCTTCAGAGTCCTGGGTGTCCCTGACATCAGCAAGGCCAACCCACTGGTGCAAGGAGCATGGGATGCAGACCTCAGCCCACCTGGAGCTCAGAGTCAAGCCCCCTGGATCCGGTGACCCCCAGTCAGCCTTTAGATGCGTGAGCAGGTGTAAATGATTATCACTGAAATTTGGAATGACTTGTTATGCAGCGTTAGTAAGGCAATGGCTCACTGATGCTGTAAGCATGTGCTACTTACATAAGGGGGAGAATCTTTTCTAAAAACGTGGTTGTGTCCTGTGCCTATACACATCAGCTGTTTGCTGACTCTACAAATTTATAAATAGACGGTTTCAAACTCTGCCCCAATTTCTTTGACCTCAGAGAAGGCTACTAAATGCATTAGTGTACCAGAACCGAGAGAAAGACCCACGTCACTTTGGATCACAATGTTTGTCATGCATTAGCTACTCGGAAGAAGAGCGAAGACGGTCCTTTTCTCTAATCCCTGCCACAAGGGATTGACTTGATTTCCAGTCTCTTTGGCTGCTGGTGCGGTTCTTCCTGCAGGGCTCTGGAGGGAGCGGTGCATTTTATCTGAGAGACGTAAGGCAGTGAAAAGGGACGCACAAACTCGGCGGCCAGAGAGAGGCCATCCTTGACTCAGAAATCTTCCAGATCAGAATTCTGTGTTGGCTGGTGGATTTCTAAAGTATGCTGGGGCCAAGAGCTGCTTACATTTCCTGAGTGACCACTGTCCGCCTTTACAAGAATGAACTGTAATCCTCCCGACAACCCTATGAAGTAGGTCATGATGAGGAGCCCCACCCGAAAGACGAGAAGTCAGGGCGTGGAGAGGTTTACCTTCGGAGTCTCATGCTTCCCAAGCCGGTGGAGCTGGGATCTGAAGACAAGTCTGACCAGAGTCCACATTTTTAATCACAAAATCAGGGAAACTGTTGGTTCTCTGAAACATGCTCCTTGTGGACCTGAGCTCCGGTAACATTGCCCGCTCTTTGAAGGGAAGATACGAGTCCCCAAAGCCACAGAGGGCTGCAGGGACCCTGTTCTGGGCTGGCTCACCAGGCTGGGGCCCGGTGGATTCCTTCAAGGCTCTTTTCTATTTCTGTTTAACTTCTTGGTGGGCCAGTTCACCCCCAGAGGGAATGTTTGAAGAGAAGTAAAAATATCCTAGAACAACACTTGCAACTAGTTCAGAAACTGTGTCTCATGTATAATGCATTTTCAGTCGCTTTCTGTGGCGAAGTCCTTGTTAGTCAGAGGGAAAGACGGAACGTTTTACTCGCTGTGTGAACAGAGGTGCTGTCACGGGGTTGCTGAGCCAGAAGCCAGGCGGCGGGGAGAGCAGGAGCCCTGTCCTCGCTTCCCTCTGCCCCCCAGGCCACGGCAGGCCCTGCAGAGCACCCCCCCCACCAAGCTGCTCTGGCTCCTCAGGCCCATGGCTGGTTGGCCCCGTCCTTCCCGGTTCTTCATTGCGATGATTATAGAGGATCAAGCCTGTTTACCACAAGCAGGTGCGGTTTCTATTTCCGGTGCGTCCACGGGTCCCCTG